CCGCTGTCGCCCTTCGTGGCCCTCTCGCTGCCCTTCGTGGCCCCTTTGCTGCCCTCAGTGGCCCCGCTGTCGCCCTTTGTGGGCCCCATATACGAATGCCCTTCGTGGCCCCCGCTCGTTCGCGCCCGTCGTGGCCCCATATGCATGCCCTTCGTGGCCCCGCTGTCGCCCTTCGTGGCCCCCTCTCTGCCCTTCGTGGGCCCGTTTCTGCCCTCAGCGGCCCCGTCGCTGCTCCCTTCCTCCTTCTCCTTTCCTTCCTCCCTCTCCTCCTTCCCTTCCTCCTTCCTTCCCTCCTTCCCTCCCTTCCTCCTCCTCCTCCTCCTCTTCCTCTTTTCCTCCTCCTTTTCCTCCTCCTCCCTCCTCTCGTCGTGGTCGTCGTCGTCGTGGTGAGCCCGCTGTCTGTCCATCTTGGGGTCGGGTTGACGCGGGTCGGCGTGTGCATCTCCAGCGCTGCCACTGGCCAGGCCGACGGTCCGCCGCTTGCCGGGGCCCGGTTTGTCGGCTTTTGAGACGCGCGTGTTCCACTGTCCCAGGCTCTTCTGCAGGCTTCGAATGAAGGCCACCCTCGACGAGGCCCCCGGGGCGTTCCCACAGGTTTTCGGAGCCTCTGGAGTTGCTCGGTGGTCATCGGGGCCATTCCGAGGCCCCCCATATGTCATAGGAGGCTTTCGGGTGCCTTCCAATCCCCCCGCGCGTTGTTTCCGCACCAGTCTCCGCTCGTATCCACCTGCCCCCACTAGCCAACGTTCTTTCCCAGTCTTTTCTACTTTGTCCTTTCATGCTCATTTTCATGTCGTTCGTACTCCATGTAATGAAAATCTTCAACACTTCGCATTCCGCCCACTCCTCCCCAGGCCGCCCCGCCCCGTCCCAACAATCTCCACCCCTTTCCGCTCGCGCCCCGCATTGCTCCCAAGTTATTCCCAGCCCCTCCTCCAGATTTTTCCGTGCGCCCCCCGCTCCTCCGTGCTCCTCCCGGTTCCTCTTCCCCACTCATTGCCGCTCCTCCTCCTGAGACCCCACTCATGTCCACTTCGTCCCGATCCATTCCACGTCCCCGCGCCCCCGTCGACGCGGTTGCAGTTCTCGTCATTTTGCCGCCCCGCTCTCCCAACGTCCCGTTTCTTATTCGGGTTCCGCGAAATTTGTTCCTGGCGCCAGTTCGCAACTGTGCGCCCCCCCCGTGGGGGTATCCACGATGTGTTATGTCAGAGGGGGTGGTGCGTAGCGCTGTTTATGGCGCGACCCGTGGCGAAACTTATTGTTAACCTGTGTTGGAGTGGTTGTCGCAAACCATGGCGCAAGCTGAATCGCCGCACGCAGCGCAAATCGTCGTCCCCCCCCCCTCCTTGCCCTTCCCCTCCCTCCCTCCGATCCCGTCGTCTTCATTCTCCCCCGTTATCTGTTGCCCTTCGTTTTCGGCTTCGCCAACCGCGCGCGGCGGGGAATTTTTATACCCCCACAAAGGGGGTGCGATCGAAAACGAAGAGGGCGGGTATCCAGGGTTTGGGATGTGCAGATTGAACGACACGCAAGCAGATAATCGCGAATTGTGCTACAATGATTGTTGTTGTTGGTGTTGTTTTTGTTGATGTTGCTGCTGCTGCGGTGGTTGTTGTTGTTGTTGTTGTTGTTGTTGTTGTTGTTGTTGTTGCTGTTGTTGTTGTTGTTGTTGTTTTTGTTGTTGTTGATTTCCCATTTATGAAGAATAATTTTTGTTGATCCCCCCGACCGGTGCATGGTGTTTTTCTCAATCAAAGTGTGCCCCTCGACGCTCGCACCCTGTTGTTTTGACAGGGAAAGTCATCCTGCTCAAACTGGGCCCCTGGCCCCCGGGTCACAACAATTAGGGCTCCCGCTTGAGACTTCTTTGCAATTTAGCCAGGACCCCCGCTCCCGCCCGAGACTTCCTCGCATTTTATTCAGGAGTCTCGCTCTCGCTGGGGATTTCCTTACAATTTATTCAGGAATCGCTCTCCCGGCGTTCTGGAGTCGCGCTCTCGCTGGAGACTTGCTTGCAACTTACTGAAGAATGGCCTTGCGTTGGAATTTCTTGCAGTTTGCCCAAGCGCCGCGCTCCCGACACCCAGGCGCCCAGGATTCGCGCCCGTTGTGGCCCCATGTGCGTGCCCTTCGTGGCCCCGCTGTCGCCATTTGTGTCCCCCTCACTGTCCTACGTGGCCCAGTTGCTACCCTCAGTGGCCCCATAGTTGCCTTCTGTGGCCCCGCATTATCTGCAGTTCGTGGCCCCCGCTCGTTCGCGCTCTTCGTGGCCCCATACGCATTCCCTTCGTGTCCCCGCTGTCGCCCTTCGTGGCCTACTTCGTGCCCTTCGTGGCCCTGCTGTCGTTCTCTCTCGCTCTCGCTTTCCCTCGTCGTCGCCGTCGTCGTCGTCGTCGCCGTCGTCTTCGACGTCGTCGTCGTCGTCGTCGTCGTCGTCGTGGTTGGTCCCCTCTCCGTCCCTCTTGGGGTCGGGTCGACGGTCCGCGGCCGCCCCGCCGATCAGCGCTGCCGCTGGCCAGGCCGACGGTCTGCGGCCGCCCCGCCGCTTGCCGGGGCTCGGCCTGCAGGGAACAAAAAGAATACCCCCCAAGAGGGGTTCGATCGAAGACGAAGAGGCGGGTATCGAGGGTTTGGGAAATACGCGTTATTGGACACTCGAGCATATAAAGGCGAACGGTCTTAAACATGTTGTTGTTGTTGCTGTTGTTGTTGTTGCTGCTGCTGCTGTTGTTGTTATTGCTGTTGTTGTTGTTGTTGTTGTTGTTGTTGTTGTTGTTGTTGATGTTGTTGTTCTTGTTGTTGTTGTTGTTGTTGTTGTGGTTGTTGTTGTTGTTGTTGTTGTTGTTGTTGTTGTTGTTCTTGTTGTTGTTGTTGTTGTTGTTGAACATTATTACTTCTAAAGAATAATTATTGTTGGGGCCCCTGGTGCGCGACCCCCCCGCCGCGCCTAGGCCGCAGCCTCATTTTCATCATTTTCGTGAGGAAGTCTCAGGCAAAACGGGTTGGTCCGGATCCGGTTGTGTTGTTACGATCGGTTTTCCCTTGCAAAAAATAAGCTAAAGTGGACATTTCTTGTTCTAACATAACCAAACTTCAAGAATCCCTTGCAAAAAATAAGGTAAAGTGGACATTCGCGCGCGCAAGACGAAATCCTTCCAAAACTTTAGTTTTCGTAGCGATTTTAACATAAAAACATCAAAAAACCAATGTTTTTTCAACAAAAAAATGTCAAAATTTCATCCCGCGCGCTCTTGCGGATTCGTAGGAAACCCAACACTTTTTAAACATTTCTGTCAAGCGGGCTTTTGCGAGCAACTTTTTCGAACTTCTGCAACAACGGTTGCGCACCTGCCAGGGCCATCATCCCTGTCAAATAATACCATGCGGGACACATTCGTTTTTTCTTCGCGCGCGCACGCCGTCGTCGTCGGCCGCGGGGCCCTGAATAGTAGCCACGGTCGTCCGCATGCCACGAAGTGAAGTGTCCGAACGTCATAGGGCGGGAAGCTGGGTGTGGGTGGTGGCGAAGAGTCGTTTGGAAATTTGGTAGAGCTTGAACCGGCCCCCCCACAAAGTGGGGGTATTGCCCGCCTCCTATGAAAACCCTGGCACTGGTGAGAACGGTGTGTCCCCACGTGCTAGTAATTGTTGTTGTTGTTGTTGTTGTTGTTGTTGTTGTTGTTGTTGTTGTCGTTGTTGTTGTTGTTGTCGTTGTTGTTGTTGTCGTTGTTGTTGTTGTTGCTGCTGCTGCTGTTGTTGCTGTTGCTGCTGCTGCTGTTGCTGCTGCTGTTGTTGTTGTTGTTGTTGTTGTTGTTGTTGTTGTTATAGGCCCAGGTTGGCGCACCCCCTCGGCTCTGGGACCTGCCACCTCTGAGCGGCGTGTGGGTCCTTGTGTTGGGGGCTTGCGTTGGCTCCCGACCAATGTGCTTTGGCCGCTGCAATGAGCCGCGCGAACCGCCGGAGGAGGAGGAAGAGGAGGACGTGTGGAAACCCAAGGGTCATCAACGATGTTGAAATACACCCTCCTTCCAAGCTCCCTCTTCACAGGTCCCATACAACGGTTCATTTCCATTGAGGGCACTGCTTCGTTGGAACACAACAGTTTGAATATCCGGAAGCGTGCTAAACATTGTTCTGGGGATGTCAACGCAACGTATCAACCTGGCTGCTGCGTCTTGACGATCCAGAATGGTACCACAAAGCCAGCACAGCGAATCCAGATAACTGTTGCGCCCGCATAATCCTGAATCCTTCCAAGGTACTTTTGTCTTGTGCGCTGATCATGGGAATCCGTGAGTGAAACTCATGCAAATTTTAAAGACGAGTGTGCGAGGCGCTCAGGCGAAGAGCCGCATTATGAAAAGGAACCGCTCTTAATCCGTGAAGCCCTTGCAAGTTTTTATAAAGAATGTGCACGGCGCTCAGGCGAGAGCCACGTTTTGAAAACGACCCGCCCTCAGTTCGTAAAGTTCTTGCAACTTTTATGATTCGTATGCGTGGCGCCAGGGCGAGAGCCACATTTTGAAAACCACCCGCCCTCAGTCTGTGAAGCTCTTGCAACTTTTTAAGACGAATGTGCGCGGCGCTGATGCGATAACCACATTTTGAAAACGACGCGCCCCCAATCCGTGAAACTCCTGCATTTTTTAAGACGAGCGTGCGCGGCGCTAAGCGAGAGCCACATTTTGAAAGCGGCCCGCCTTCCATCAGTTAAACTGTTGTCGCTTCTTAAGTTGCAGAGTCATAAGTGGTGAGGAAGTCTCAGGCGAAACGCCCGACCCGCCTTCAAATTTTGCTTCGGGGTGCGACAGGGAGGAGTTATCTATAAGGAAAAGGAGTGGAGGAGGAGGAGGAGGAGGAAAAGGGGTGAGGAGGAGGGGGAGGAGGAGGAGGAGGAGGAGGAGGAGGAGGAGGAGGAGGAGGAGGAGGAGGAGGAGGAGGAGGAGGAGGAGGAGGAGGAGGAGGAGGAGGAACGGTGCAGCCTTCTCGCATCCGAGGCGCCTGTCGGACGTCACCATCGAGGCCATGAAGGAGCATCCCCCGAAGGGCAGCACGCTGCAGCCCGTGAAGGCTGCCTGGCATCCAACCGCCCGGCCGCCCTCGCCTCCACCATGGGGGAGGAGAGTTGAAGTCCGCGTCGCCCCAACATACTAATACTATGTGTGCGTCGCCTCCCCCCCTCCTTAAAGGGCGACGCGCGACGCGCGCACCGGGAAATCTCATGGCATATGCGTCGTGGTGGGCGCTTTCTGGCCACCGCTCGGGACACGATGCACTACAAGATGGGGGACTATATGTTCGGGTCGGACGCGCGCCTCCAAGGAGGACGTAGAGTATTCTTGACGCTCCGCGTATACCCACCAGCCCATCCAGAAACGATGCCCATGAGAGTTGACGGGGGGAGAGAGGAAGAGACACGCATAGTCAAACAGCGAGGGAGGTTTGGGAGGCTCCGTGGCCATCTCGGGCCGTCTTGGAGCAGTCTTGGGGCCGCTTGGAGCATCTTGGGAGCCATCTGGAGCCAGCTCGGGCTATCCGAGCCATCTTGGAGGTCATCTTGGGCTCTCTGAGGCCGCTCGGGGGCCTTTTGGGGGCCTCTCGGGTGCCTTTTGGAGGCCTCTTGGGGCCTCTTAGGGCGCTCTTTGGGCCCTCTTGGGAGCCTCCTGGGAGCCCTGGAGGGCCTCTCGGGGCCATCTTGGGGGCGGTCGGTCAAAAGAGTGGGGGGTACTAGATGTGCGCCCCCCCCCCTTCGGGGGCCACGATCCTCGTGAAGGGTGGCAAAACATTGCCCTCCCAAGAGCCGAAAAAAGGAGCCTCCGACACATCGCGACCTTCCCCCCAAAACCTCAGGGAGGGGAGGGGGGAGGTTCCCTCCCAGGAAGGGGGGTTGTGGACGAGGAAAGAAACCTTCCTTCGATCACCTGTCGCCCCATGAGACGATGAGAGACGAGGAAGGTTTCAGATGCGTGTTCGAGGGTTTGGGGATGTGTGGGTTCTCCCTGGGCCTCCTCCTCGTCCTTCCCGCGATTCTCATCCCTCCTCACTTTCTCTCTCCTGTTGCTGCTCTTGCTCTTCCCAGCGGGAAACTGGAGATGCTGAGCAGAAAGAGCAGACACGCTACCGTGGATGGCTGGTAGGTGGGGCGAAGCGGTCTCAAAGGCGACGAGGGGGGAGGGCAGCTTCGACCAGCAAGAATTGATGCCTCAGGTATGAGTGTCCGCCGAGCTCCACGGCAGCAGATCATTTCGACGCTTCCGAGCACGCATTGTTCTAGATCCGTGCTGTGCGCACGGCAAGTGCAGTTTTAGGGATGCGTCGCTTTCAGTCAGCGCTCTGTTTCCGCTCAAGGTGAGCCGGGCAGCAACAGATCTCGATGCGCTGGACAAGTTCTACGTGGACGGCATGCGGGCAGAGAAGGCACGGATAGTCGAGCAGTGCCTGCCAAGCTTGCCTCTCTGCCACATAACACATAGGTCTGTCTGTTCGTCAACAGTCACAATGCCTGCCTACTTGCCTCCCACTCTCTGCATGCCTCGATCGCCCTTTCCCTAGTTGTCTTTGCATGTCTCTAGCTCTATATGCAAACCTCGCGCTCTCTCTCTCTCTCTCGCTAATTCTGTTTAGTAGTCCTATATCTATCTCTATTGTTTTTTGTCTCTTTCTCTCTCTCTCTCTCCCTCTTCCCCCCACCTTTCCCTCTCTCATACACATATATGTATGCATGTATGCATGTACGTATGCATACATATATATATATATGTATATATATATACATACGCACGTACGTACATACATATATATGTATATTATCATGTATGTATGTATGCATGTATGTATGCACGTGTGCATGTATGCATATATGCATGTATGTATGCATGCACGTGTGTATGTATGTTGGTATGCATGTATGCATGCATGTATGTATGTCGGAGGTTGGGGGGTGAGATCGCAGTGGAACGGAGACCCCCAACCAGGAAATCGTTTCGTTTCGTTTGTGTCATGCGTGCGGGCGAGGCGAAGCTACGTGGGCGCGCTAGAGGAATGAACCCGCCGTTGCTAGGGCGAAGTCAAGACAGATGATTCTCCCCCGTCCGTCCGTCCGTCTGGTGGTGGCCCTAGCGGTGTCCCGCGGTGTCCCGTGGTGTCCCGTGGTGTCCCGTGGTGTTCGCCGTTGCTAGGGCGAAGTCAAGACAAATGATTCTCCCCCGTCCGTCCGTCCGTCCGGCGGTGTCCCGCGGTGTCCCGCGGAGTTCCGTGGTGTCCCGTGGTGTCCCGTGTTCGCCGTTGCCAGGGCGAAGTCAAGACAAATGATTCTCCCCCGTCCGTCCGTCCGTCCGGCGGTGGCCCTGGCGGTCTCCCGCGGTGTCCCGTGGTGTCCCGTGGTGTCCCGTGGTGTCCACCGTTGCTAGGGCGAAGTCAAGACAAATGATTTTCCCCCGTCCGTCCGTCCGTCCGGCGGTGGCTCGCGGTGTCCCGAAAGTGAGATCGATAGTGAGATCGATAATGAGATCGACAAGTGTCCCGTGGTGTCCCGTGGTGTCCCGTTGAGTGAGATCGACAGTGAGATCCATAGTGAGATCGATGTGGTGTCCCGTGGTGTCCCGTGGCGTCCTATGGTGTTCCGTTGTGTGAGATCGATAGTGAGATCGATAATGAGACCGATAGTGAGATCGAGAGGTGTCCTGCGGTGGCCCGTGGTGTCCCGTGGTGTCCCTTTAAGTGAGTTCCATTGTGAGATCGCTGGTGAGATCGACAAGTGTCCCGTGGTGTCCCGTGGTGTCCCGTGGTGTCCCGTTGAGTGAGATCGATAGTGAGATCGATTGAATCAGATGTTGGTTCCCCCCCTTTCCGCCCCCCACACCCTCCTTATCACCCGAAGTGTGGTCGTAAAGGGGATGCATGCATTCATGCATGTATGTATGCATGTAGATAGGTAGCTCGGTAGGGAGATAGGTAGGACTGTAGGCATGTATGTATCCATGTACGTATGCACGTATGTACCTGTGTGCGTATGTTTGTATGCATGCGTGTCTGTATGTATGTATGTATGTATGTATGTGTGTGTGTGTATGCCTGTAGGTATGCATGCATGTATGCAATGTGCGCGTAATGTATAAATGCATCTCTGTGTGTATGCATGTTTGCATGTATGTATGTATGCATGTCTGTCTGTCTCTGTGTGTATGTATGTATGTACATACGCACGTACGTATGCATGTATGCATGCATGTATGTATGTATATGTGTGTATGCATGTATGCATGCATGCATGCATGCATGCATGTCTGTCTGTCTGTCTGTCTGTCTGCCTGTCTGTATGTATGTATGTATGTATATGTGTATGTATGCGCATGTATGCATGTAGGTACGTGTGTATACATGTATGTAAGCCTGTATGTATGCATGCTTGTATGGCTGAAACACCGAATGTGTGCATGTATGCATGTACGCATGCATGCATGTATGCATGCACGTTTCTATGCATGTATGTGTATGTATACGCACACACATATATACACACATGTATGTATGTATGTATGTATGTATGTATGTATGTATGCATGCATGCATGCATGTATGTATGTATGTATGTATGTATGTGTATATATATATAAAATGCATTTATATACATACATACAAACATACATACATACATACATACATACATATATATATATATATATATATATATATATATATATATGCAGGTTGACTACATGCATACGTACCAAGACTGCACACCCATGCATACATTGTAGCCTTCTAGGCCCACCAGCGAGCCAGGAACATTTGCCCATATCTCTCATAGGGAAGGCACCCCCATGATCCCCTCCACTGTCCCTCTCTCTATCGCTCCTGCTCCCTCGTCCCTTCTCCGTTCCTCTCCCCCCGGGGAGGGGGAGGAGGAGTAGGCGGAGGAGGAGGAGGGGGAGGAGGAGGAGGAGGAGGAGGAGGAGGAGGAGGAGGAGGAGGAGCAGAGGAGGAGGAGGAGGAGGAGGAGGAGGAGGAGGAGGAGGAGGAGGAGGAGGGGAGGGGGAGGGGGAGGGGGGGGAGGAGGAGAAGAAGGAGGAGGAGGAGGAGGAGGAGGAGGACGGAGGAGGAGGAGGCGGAGGGGAGAAGGCGGAGGAGGATGAGGCTGAGGAGGAGGAAGAGGAGGAGGAGGAGGAGGACGAGGAAGAGGATGATGATGATGATGCTGATGATGCTGCTGCTGATGATGATGATGATGATGATGATGATGATGATGCTGATGCTGATGCTGATGCTGATGCTGCTGCTGATGATGATGATGATGATGAGGAGGAGGAGGAGGAGGAGGAGAAATATGAGAACAAAAAGCGGAGGCGGAGGCGGAGGCGGGGGCGGCGGAGGAGGAGGAGAAGGAGGAGGAGGAGGAGGCGCAGTTAAAAAAAAGGGGGAGGAGGGGGGGAGGAGGGGGGAGGAGGATGAGGCTGAACACGAGGATGAGGATGAGGATACTAATACTAATAATAATAATAATAATACTGCTGATGCTGGTGATGCAGATAATCATAATGCTGCTGATGATGATCATGATAATACTGATGATGCTGCTTCTGATGATGATGCTGATGATGATGCTGATGCGGCTGCTGCTGATCATGATCATGATGCTGCTGCTGCTGATGTTGATGATGATGCTGATGCTGCTGCTGATGATGATGCTGATGCTGCTGATGATTATGCTGATGCTGCTGCTGCTGATGATGATGATGATGATGATGCTGCTGCTGCTGATGCTGCTGCTGCTGATGATGATGATGATGATGATGATGATGCTGATGCTGCTGCTGCTGATGCTGCTGCTGATGATGATGCTGATGATGCTGCTGCTGATGATGATGATGATGCTGATGATGCTGCTGATGATGATGCTGATGATGCTGATGATGCTGCTGATGATGATGATGATGATGAGGAGGAGGAGGAGGAGGAGGAGGAGGACGCCCCCGTCGCCGCCAGGTCTTCTCGCAGACCCGGGGCAAGGGCACTTACAAGATCTCGACGCACTGCTACCAGTGGCCAGAGGGCAAGGCCAGGGCGGGGCGGTCGCGCCCGGCCGCTGCGCCGCCTTCGCCCGCGGCCTCGACCTCGCAGCTCCCTGTCCCTTCCCTCCCTCTCCCTCCTCCCTCCTCCCCCTTCTCCCCCTGTCCCCCTCCCCCCTTCCGCGCCCTTTCCCTCGCTCTCCTTGCTCCCTCCTGCCCAGCCTCCCTTCTTCCTTCCCCTTGCCCCCTCCTGTTCCCGCCCTCCCTCGGGGATGCCGGGTTTTTGACGAGCTGCATGGCGAGGCTCGCGCTCATGCTCGGAGTTTCACCCTTGTCTCTTCAGGAGAGAAGGAAACACACAGACACAATTAATCGTCGACTCCAAGGAAAATATGGGAAAATATGGGAATTGGGGGGAAGACAAAAGCCCAGAAAATATGGGGAAATATGGGGAATCCTGCTATTTGTGTGTATTCATTTGTGTGTCCCAGGGCCCCTTCGTCTCTGCCGTCCCCACCCTGGGTGAAGGAGCGCCGGCCCCAGACCTCCGACGTCGTGAACCGTGCACGACGCGGGCTGCTGAGCTCTCTCGACCCCGCTCCTCTCGCACTGCGCTTGGCGCCGCGGGCTTGTTTTTTGCGGGTTCACGGGCTCAGAAGCCGGCCCCGGAAGCCGAAATGGCGAGAACGAGGTTCGTCGCCCCTTGCTCGCGACTCATTCGAGAGGAGGGATCGGCCGGGGCAGGCCGACGTGTGCTTCGTCCAGCGCCCGGACAGCGCCACCGCCGGCGAGTTCAAGGTCGCAGATTACGAGAGGGTGCTGAAGGCCAGCGCCCCTCCCTCCTGATGCCCCCTGTTTTTCCTCCTCCCTCCTCCTCTCTCCTCCTATCCTCCTCTTATCCTCCTCTCTTCCTCCCCCCATTCTCCCCTGCCTCCGTCCCCGCCCTGGCTCCTGCGGAACAGGCTTGTTTATTCAACGCTAGTTTTCGGGACTTTCCCGTGGAAAGTTCGACTCAGGTTCGACTCAGGTTCGGCTCGGATCGACGGAAGTTCGACGCAGCTTCGGCGCACGAGTGGAGCGAGTGGCTCCTAGAATGTCCCCAGAAGGAGCACCTAATATTTACCAGCCCCCCTGGGACCCCATTCCTACGGTAGAGGGAAACAATTAGTGAACACCCCCCCTGCCCCCCAAACTCAAAGTTGGCACGCGCGGGGGAGACTGCGGTCGAGGTGCAACTCATCAGACCCGCTGCCAACTTTGAACACCGGGGGGAGGGGCAGGCGTTGACAGATGAATGTGGCATGAGTGTTTGCCATTCTTTCCCGAGGGCTGTAAGAGCAGCGCCCGCCAGACGTCAGCGCGGGCGCCCTGCCTCCATCGTGCAGAGAGGGCGGCTCTCTTGCCACGGCGGGGGTCATATTTCCGCATCCAGCTCCTTTCAGGAGGGAAAGAAACACACAGACACAATGAATCGTCGATTCTTCCGAAAATATATAGGAAATTATCCCAGTGCGACCCTACCTAGGAGTTGGAGCATTTAGGACAGCAATATCTACATCTACACCGACAGCTACATTCACATCTACACCTGCATCTACATCTACACCTCTACACATCTACACTACATCTACATCTACATCTACATCTACATCTACATCTACATCTACATCTACATCTACATCTACATCTACATCTACATCTACATCTACATCTACATCTACATCTACATCTACATCTACATCTACATCTACATCTACATCTACATCTACATCTACATCTACATCTACATCTACATCTACATCTACATCTACATACATCTACATCTACATCTACATCTACATCTACATCTACATCTACATCTACATCTACATCTACATCTACATCTACATCTACATCTACATCTACATCTACATCTACATCTACACCTACACCTACACCTACACCTATATCCACATCTACACCTACACCTACATCTACATCTACATCTACACGTTCGCATTGGTTTTGCTTTGCTTTGCATTGCCTTTGCTTTTGCATTACCTTGGCTTTGGCTATGCTATGCTATGTTATGCTATGCTATGCTGCGCTATGCTATGCTATGCTATGCTGAGCTATTATATGCTATGCTATGCTATGCTATGCTATGCTATGCTATGCTATGCTATGCTATGCTATGCTATGCTATGCTATGCTGTGCTAATGCTGCACTGCGCTATGCTGCGCCGCGCTAAGCTAAGCTAAGGTAAGCTAAGCTATGCTAAACTAAGCTAAGTTAGGCTAGGCTAAGCTAAGCTAAACTAAAGTTAAGCTAAGCTAAGCTAAACTAGGCTAGGCTAGGCTAGGCTAAACTAAGCCAAGCTAGGCTAGGCTAATATGAGATAAGCTGTGATAAGCTAAGCTAAGCTAAACTAAGCTAAGCTAAGCTAAACTAGGCTAGGCAAAGCTAAGCTAAGCTAAGCTAAGCTAAGCTAAGCTAAGCTTAGATGAGATAAGCTAAGCTAAGCTTAGCTTAGCTAGGCTAAACTGGGTGAACCCAGGGGGCGCAACTGGGGGATCCGTGGGGCGGATCCTGGGGGAACCGCCCAGGGCGCTTTCCACTGCCCGGCCCTTTAGACCCGGAGAGTAAGAACCCTTCTAGGCAGAGCCTAGGCAGGGAAATATGGGACGTGGGGGGGAAGACACAAAACCCAGAACACGTGGGGAACTATTGGGAATCTTGTTATTTGTGTGTATTTGTGTGTATTTATTTGTGTGTATTTATTTGTGTGTATTTGGTAAATCCGGTTATTTGGGGGGGATATTGGAAATCCTGTTCTTTGTGTGTATTTTTGTTGTGTGTCCCTGGGCCCCTTTCTCCTTCCTCGTCGCTGCCGCCCCCTCCCTCCCCGGACCCCCTCGCGTTATAGATCGCTCATGGCCTCATCGCTCGGCTTATCTCGGGGGGGGACAGACCTCCTACCCTGACACGTCGATGAGCGGATTTCAGGAGGGGGCAAAAACACACAGACACAATGAATTGTCGATTCTCAAGAAAATATGGGAAAATATGGGGAAATATGGGGGGGAAGACAAAAACCCAGAAAATAAAGGGAAATCTGGGGGATCCTTTGATTTGTGTGTATTTATTTTTGTTTCCCAGGGCTCCTTCAGAACTGACCTTTTCGGTTCGCGAGAGGGCGTCGCGGCCGTCATTTTTGCGGGTCCAGGTCCGTGGGTTTCGGTCCCAGGCCGTTCTCACTGAAGGGTGGCTTATATACGAAAGGGAGGCCTGTCCACCGCCGATGATCACCGACTTCGGTCCATGCGTCGCATGCTCTCCCCTCGCGCCACGAGGCAAGCACGACGGGAGGCCTTGCGCTCCTCTCGGCCCCTGGAGGCCCTTGCGGGCCCTCGGGACCGGCCCCAAAACGCCTCGGGAGGAGACGCCGGCCCCCAGGAAGGGACCCAGACCTCTGGGGGTCGATGTGCTCGGAAGAGCGTGGTCCCTGTCCGCGGCGTACCTTTTCCTGTGCAAGCTCCTCGGCACCGCCTGCACCCCGGGCTCCGCCCGCTCCGGCCGCCCGAGGCCCCGCCTTCCTGTGCCCTGTCTCCCTGATTATTAAAGCTGTGCGCAGCCCGCCTAGCTTTTAGCGGAAGAGGTTCGCTCTCGCCCCGCAGACCCCCCCCAAAAAAGTGCTCAGAAGATCGTGGCGTCGGTGGTTTGGGGAGGTCCGGACCACTGCCCCGGGGCCGCTCTTCGTCCCGCGCCGTTTGTTGGCGGCCTCCCAGGGGCCCGGCGAGGGCCCCCCTCCTGGAGGCCGAACGCGGGCCCCAAAGCCGCCCTTCGCCCCGGTTCCTTCGGAGCGCCGGGATCTCCGGAGGGGCGCCCGAGCCCTCTCCTCGAGCTGGGCCTCCCGCGCAGGCTTCGGCCTGTCCCCCTACAGGGGGATTTTCGACGAGAAATTCTTGACGCTTCGCGTATTCCCACCAGCCCATCCTACACCAGGCACTCGAACGAAGAGCGCCGATGATCGGCAGCTGTTCTCCTCCCCCTCTTCCTCCTTCTCCTCCGCCTCCTCCTCCTCTTCCCTTCCTCCTCCTCCTCATCCTCCTCCTCCTCCTCCTCCTCCTCCTCCTCCTCCGCCTCTTCCTCTTCCCTGGTGGCGTCTTGGAGGTATCTTCGAACGTTTTGGTGGGCTCTTGGGCCTCGCGGGCGGGCGGGCGGCGCTCCGCCCGCCCGCGCGCAGGGCGCAAGAGGAGAGTCCGAGACGTCTCTTGAGGCCCTCTTGGAGGACATCGATCGCAGAAGGGGGAAGCATTTTTTAGCGTCGCCCCCCTGGGGGGCACGATCCTCGTGAGGGGTGTCGAATTTTAGCCCTCCCAGGGGTCGTTCTTGGACGCTCTAACTACCCGCGGCCCCCCCTGTCCAGGTCAGTGGGGAGGGGGTAGGGGGAGGGGTAAACCCCTCCCCGAAGGGGAAGAAGGAGGGGTGGAAGAGGAAACGCTCTAAACCACCGACGCCCAGAGGGCTGGTGGGATTACAATACCCCAAAAATGCCCCAAAAAGGTAACACAAATACCCCCAAATAGTCCCCGGACTATTTTTGGATTTTTTTTTTGATAATTTGTCTGGGGTATTTTTTATTTTTCGTCGAAAATCCCCCTGTAGGGGGGCAGGCCCGAGTTAAGCATTGGTCCCAGACCCCCGACGTCACGAACCCCAGAGGTCCTCCAGCGAGTCGACGCGCTCCGAAGAGCAGTGGCGCGGCCACTGTGGGGCCCTCCTTGTCCTCCCATGGATGCGCTCGGGCCCTGCCTTGGGCCCCCCCCCCCAAATCGACCGGGCTCCGGGCTCCAGGGGGATAGGTCTCGGGGGTGGATAGACCTCCGACCCCCCTGACACGCCGATTAGTGAATTGGCCGTTTTCGGCTCGCGAGAGGGCGTCAAGGCCGTTATTTGTACGGGTCCAGGTCCGTCGTTCTCGGTCCGTTTTCACGAAAGGGAGGTTTACTAAAGGGAGGTTTGTCCACCGCCGAGGGTTTGGGGAGGGGAAAGCATGTCTCACACGTCGATGAGCCCCAAGGGGTCGGCGGATCTGACACGGATCGTGCCCACCGTGGCACGCGCGCAGGGGCGTGCGAAGGATTTCGGCATGCGGCGCCAGAGGCCTTTTTGGCAAAATCGAAGGAGAATGTGCAGGAGCGCGAGCGCAGGCTTTTTGGAAAACTTATGTTGCCAAACCATTTTTGTTTACGTGTGTGCATATATATATGTATATATATATATATATATATATCGAGAAAGCATAACAACATAATCCATGTAAAGGTACAGTGTGATGATATGAACTTTGGAATTTACACATCCAGGTATTTTCGGGACAGATCTTGGACATCCCACGAAACCTAGAGGTTGTTACAGGATTTCCGCATGCGCGCGCGACGAAGCGCGCGCGTGTGCATTGATTTAGTTGGAGATTCTTGCGACAGCGCGCGCGCGGTTTGCACGTCTGGTATAGCATGTTATGAACATGTTGAAAGCCCACGATTCTCTCAAGAATCTGAAAGACCATCTTTTGTTTCTTTTACAGTGCTCGTTGCGGAGCCATGTTTTTTTCCCAACCGTCCTGTGGTGCTGGGTCCTCGTTTTGAAGAGGCAGCGCCCCGCGTTCTCCTCTCCTCCTCTCCCTCCCTCCCTCCCTCCCTCCTCCCATCATCATCATCATCATCATCATCATCATCATCATCATCATCATCATCATCATCATCATCATCATCATCATCATCATCATCATCATCATCATCATCATCATCATCATCATCATCATCATCATCATCATCATCATCATGGTCGTTGATGTCATCACCATCGTCATCATCGAAAGAGCGTGTTCTGCTGCTGCTGGCGGAAATCCGGGCGGGGTCACTGGGGGTTTCCAACCCGTCCCCCCTCCTCGAAAACCCGGGGGTGGGTCTACCGGTTCGACCCCCCTCCCCCCCCCCTCCAGTCCATCACTACGGGATCGAACCCCCCCCCTCGCCGCCGGCAAACGATTCCCGCTCCTCGGGACAGTTAGACAGTGGTGGGGATACTGGGACAGTGGTGGGGACGGTGGTGGTGGGGACAGTGGGGGCAGTGGGACAGTGGTGGGGACAGTGGTGGGGACAGTGGTGGTGTGGACAGTGGTGAGGGCGGTGGCGAGGACGGTGGTGGGACAATGGGACAGAGGTACAGTGGGGACAGTGGTGGGGACAGTGGGGACAGTGGCGGGGACAGTGGGACAGCTTAGTGGGACAGCGGCAGGGACAGTGGGACAGTGGGACAGTGGTGGGGACCGTGGGGAAAGCGGGGCGAGTGGGACCGTGGTGGGAACAGTGGTGGGGACAGTGGGGACAGTGCGACAGTGGTGGGGGCACTGGTGGGGACAGTGGGGACGGTGGTGGGAACAGTGGGGACAGTGGTGGTGGGGACAGTGGTGCTAGGGACAGCAGTGGGGTGTGTGGTGCGGACGGTGGTGGGGACCAGGGAGTCGTTTGCCAGCGGTGAGTGTGGGCGGGGTGGAGGGGGTGGGGGGTTCGAGCCGGTAGTGACCCCCCCAGTTTTCTGGAGGTTGGGGCGGGGGGGTTCGAACCAGTAGTGACCCTCTCCAGTTTTCTGGCGGGGGAAGGGGGTGGGGCTCGAACCGGTAGTGATCCCCCCCTCGGTTTTCTGGAGGGGGCGGGGGAGTTCGAACCAGTAGAGACCCCCCCAGTTTTCTGGAGGGGGAGGGGGTTCGTACCGGTAGTGACCTCCTCCCGGTTTTCCGGAGTGGGGGGTTAAGAGTGGGGTTTTGCTGGGGGAAGGGGGGGGTGTTCAGCAGGGGGGGATTTTCGAAGGGGGGGGGACCCCCAGGTTCCAGAGGAAGAGGGGGGGCATTTTCCATAGGAAAGCGGCGGTGGATCACGCTCTCTCTCCTCATCAGTGTCATCGTCATCGTCGTCATCATCGTCATCGTCATCAGCATCCCCATTTAGGCACACCTCTCACGCGGTTCGCGGCCCCATAGGGAGCTCCACCGAAGGCCCTTGTGGCAGGGTCCGCATGGCACCGCCGCCTCATTTCGGCATACCTCTCACACAGTTCGTGGCCCCATAGGGAGTTCCACCGAAGGCCCCAGGGGCAGGGTCCACATGGCACCGTCGCCACTTCGGTACACCTCTCACGTGGTTCGTGACCCGACAGGGAGCTCCACTTGAAGGGGCCAGTGGCAGGGTCGGCATGGCACCGCCGCCCCATTCGACACACCCCTCACACAGTCCGTGGCTCAGTAGATAGCTCCACCGAAGGCCCCAATGGCAGGGTCCGCATGGCACCGCCGCCTCATTTCAGCACACCCCTCACACGGTTCGTGGCCCGATAGGGAGCTCCGCCGAAGGCCCTGTGGCAGGGTCCGCATGCCACCGCCTGATTTCGGCACACCCGTCACGCGGTTCGTGGCCCCGTAGGGAATTCCACTGAAGGCCCCTGTGGCAGGGTCCGCATGGCATTGCCGCCCAATTTCGGCACATCCCTCACACGGTTCGTAGCCCCATAGGGAGTTCCACCGAAGGCCCCAGGGGCAGGGTCCGCATGGCACCGCCGCCACATCGGCATACCCCTCACGCGGTACGTGGCCCCATAGGGAATTCCACCGAAGGCCACAGTGGCAGGATCCGCATGACATTGCCGCCCCATTTTGGCACACCCCTCACACAGTTCGTGGCTCAGTAGGGAGCTCCACCGAATGCCCCAGTGGCAAGGTCCGCATGGCACCGCCGCCTCACTTCGGCACACCCCTCACACGGTTCGTGGCCCGATATGGGAGCTCCGCCGAACGCCACAGTGGCAGGGTCCGCATGGCACCGCCGCCCCATGTCGGCACACCCCTCACACAGTTCGCGGCTCAGTAGGGAGCTCCACCGAAGGCCCTAGTGGCAAGGTCAGCATGGCCGCCGCCTCATTTCGGCACACCCCTCACGCGGTTCGTGGCCCCGTAGGGAGTTCCACCGAAGGCCCTGGTGGCAGGGTCCGCATGACATTGCCGCCCGATTTCGGATCACCCCTCACACGATTTGCGGCCCCATCGGGAGCTCCACCGAAGGCCACAGTGGCAGGGTCCGCATGGCACCGCCGCCCCGTTTCGGCACACCCCTCACGCGGTTCGTGGCCCCATAGGGAGCTCCACCGAAGGCCCCAGTGGCAGGGTCCGAATGCCACCGCCGCCCCATTTCGGCATACCCCTCACACGTTTCGTGGCCCCATAGGGAGTTCCACCGAAGGCCCTTGTGGCAGGGTCCGCATGGCACCGCCGCTCAATTTCAGCACACCCCTCACACGCTTCGTGGCCCCATAGGGAGCTCCACCGAAGGCCCCTGTGGCAGGGTCCGCATGGCACCGCCGCCATATTTCGGCACACCCCTCACACGGTTCGCGGCCCCACAGGGAGCTCCACCGAAGGCCCTAGTGGCAGGGTCCGCATGGCACCGCCGCCATATTTCGGCACACCCCTCACACGGTTCGTGGCCCCATAGGGAGCTCCACCGAAAGCGGTACACACAACGCGGTTTTCATAACTGCGTATGGTTGGGTCCTTCGCCAGGATAATCTATGTTTTCGGGCCACTCGAAATTGAAATCCTTACGACGCCGTCGATTTTCAAGGATTTCGGCATGCGCGCGCGACGACGCGCGCGTGTGCACTTCGCCCGTGTATTTGAGCGTTTTTTTGGGGGGGGGGTTGTTTTTTTGTTTTTTGAAAACTGACTGTTTTTGATTAGCGAATGTGCACACAGTTTTCCTCCAGAGATTAGGGGGGACGATACCGGTTTAGCTGTTATAGTACGAATTCATTTTTACGATGGGCTTTGGGGCTGCATCGTATGTAATTTACAATACGCAAAGGGGGACTGTTAAATCCTGGGGTTGGGGAGGGGTTGGATCCTATTACCCTTGTAGAAACGGACATCTAAAAAGGAACAACGATGTCGTGCAATCAGTTGCGCAACATGAGTTGTGCAATGAAGGTTGAGCAATGCTTGCGGTGCACTCTGTGCGATGTAAGTTATGTTGTGCAAGTTAAGTTGTGCAGTCTGTGTTGTGCAATCCATGTGGTACAACATCTGTGGTGCAATGCATGCTATACAATCTATGTGGTACAGTATACGTTGTGCAATCGATGGTGCCGAATACATGTTGTGCAGCATCGGTTGTGCAGCCTATGTTGCCCAACCCATGTGGTGTAGTATTTGTGATGCAACATACGGTGCGTACTCTATGCTACGCAGTATCTGTTGTGCATTCTATGTGGTTCAGTCTTAGAGTGTGCAACATATGTGGTGCAATCGATGTGGAGCCATCAATGTGGAGCAACTTATTTGGCGGCGACGGGGGGCGACGGGACGGCGACGGCGATAGCATAGACGCCAGACCGCCACATCGGCCCAGACGACTGGCGGCGACGAGGCGGCGACGGGGCGGCGACTGCGACAACATAGCCGTCAGACCGCCACACTGGCCCAGACGACGGGCGGCGACGAGGCGGCAACCAGGCGGTGACGGAGGCGATATAGCCGCCACAACGACAAACAGCCCAGACGACGGGCGGCGACGAGGTGGCGACGAGGCGGCGACAGCGGCTGCGCAGCTGCCAGCCGCTTCGGGTTTCAGAGGGGCTCTGGGTTTCGGGCACCTCCTTAGAAGATTTGGGTCGGGGACCTATTCGTGGCCGCGGCTCGCCGTGGTCAGCGTTCCTTACGATAGCACGATGACTGTAGGCTCGGAGGGATGGGGGAGGAGGAGGAGGGATGGGGGAGGAGGAGGAGGAGGAGGAGGGATGGAGGAGGAGGAGGAGGAGGAGGAGGAGGAGGAGGAGGAGGAGGAGGGAGGAGGAGGAGGAGGAGGAGGAGGAGGATGCTCCGCATTGGTGGCCCGCCTCGCTCGCCCACCCCTCCCCCCGGGCCCCTCCCCGTGCGCTGGCCCCCGCCGCGCCCGACAGTCCTCGGCGGAGACGGGGCTCCTGAACCCGCAGTGCAGGGCCTTCCGGTGGGAGGACCAGCGCGGGCGGAGGTGCGCAGGCAGGGGGTCCTCCCGAGGAGGAGGGGGAGGGGATGAGGAGGAGGAGGAGGAGGAGGAGGAGGAGGAGGAGGAGGAGGAGGAGGAGGAGGAGGAGGAGGAGGA